GAGCTCGCGACGAAGCCGCTGAGTTACAGGGTCAACCGTGACCAATGCCAGATAGATGGATACGTAGCATACCCTGTTCTTCTTGTGAGTATCCGCCTCATCGCATGTATATGGTCTGATAGCTTTGATAGCAACCTTTCTGGTGGTCAGACAATGTGCCGCTCCGATTTGACTAAAGTGTAGTACAGACCTCGATATTCTGATACCCTTGGCGCAAGAGGCATCGCCATATGTCACTGAACCCACCATGAGCACTCGGATAGTCACTCTGTTTGGTTATTTGGCCAGTCAGGTCTGGCGGATAGGTCTGCCTCGGCTGACTGACAGGCGTTTCGACTGGTGGTACAGGGGGACTGTCCTTGTGGTGGGATGTTGGTTTGCTGGTCTGGGGGTTGTCTGAAAGGCATGGTCCTCGTCAAACATATTCTGTGATTTAGAGAGCGCGATGGTGAGGGTATTTTCGACTCTCGACGAAATACCGAACAGCGATATTCAGTTTGTGAGGCTCCTCATGGGAAGTTTTCAGCCAAGGCGCGGATGCCTTATGCGCTAAACGAAGCCCTCCGGAGGAGTCGTGTGAGCCCTCGAACTGCACAGGGAGGGTGTTGGCTGTACGTTCGTCACTTGCATGCGAGTCCTGATCCATTGACCACGATGACTTACCACGCTCCGGCCCAACAGCAGGCCCAGGATAGCTGTACGAGACCACCTCTCTTTCAGCAACAGCGTGGGCATGTGACAAAAAGATGAGGATGAGGCGGATATGGCGCATGGGGTCGAGGCATCACCATCAGGCTCTTCGACCTATGTAGATCCATGGTTGACCTCGTTGTTTGTCGCGTAAGACTGACTGCACGAATAGAGTATGAGGTGCACAGTGGTAAACACAACCCGATGGTGATGAACTTGTTGCTGCCCGTAATCGCGGTCCGCCAGTGCTTATATACCGCATTCCATGGACTAGAATACTTCTGTACGTGGTCTCGTGGGAGATAGTTGGGAGATAGTACCAAGGGACGGTGATGCCTAACGTACCACGGATCACCACCTTCTAGCTGTGGAAAGAAACGTGCCCATAAGATGCTGTGGGGCGCATCAACCTGCTCTGTATATCAGGCAACTTTTGGTCCAAAGTACAGAATGCACACCTGAAACAGTGATATGCATAGCGATACACGATATTATTGACGTGTGCAGCGCACCCCTTCCCGGGGTAAGTAAACCGTTTCAGTACAGGTTAGTGGAGTTCAACGAGATCGGACAATATCGGAATATGTCATTGCACTGTGCAGTGGGTCTTTGGTGGGTCCTGCTAATTTATTGCGATCATGAGGTGGCATGTCGAGTCCCTCAGCTAGGGCAGTGAGCAATAATGGCTGATAGAATCGAGGCGAGAAAGCGCGGTATTGAACGGCTTCGTCCGTTTACAATGTGTGGTCGACGAACCCAACTATTTCGCTGAGACAAAGGCCCTTGATGCATCCGCACATCCGGGCCGTTGTATGACGCCTAGCCTGAGGCACGCTCAGGGGATTACTATGTATACCCGCATATAATGCGAGTTGCTGCGAAATGGACTGTCAACGCGATGTTGCAGCAGTCACGTAAAAATTATCATGTTTGGTGGACTCTTACAGAATACCAGAGTCGAATCCAACGCTAAGACATTTACATACACGCATAACCGCGTCGTCATTGCCAGCGGATAGGGAGGAAGTACATTAGTGCAGCACATACTCATACTTGCAAGATAAATAAAACACATAAGGAAAACAAGGTGAAGCCAAGCAACCCTCTCAAGCTTCCATCTCAGCGAGAGCAGCTTCGTTCAGTGCCTCAGCCTCAGCCATAATCTTCTCTTCCAATGCCGCTACTCTCGATCCAGCATCTCTCCGCTCCCTATCGAGATCCGCATATCTCTCCTGCAACAACCTTTCCCTCCTCGCAAGAATCTCCACTTCCTCCTTGAGCGTCTCCACTCGTCTAGGACCAGCGGCACTCTCGTTGGTAGCCAATCTGGAAAAGCTGTCGTAGTCCAATTTGGTCTTGACCAGCTCGTCGAATGCATCAGTGACGCGTTTGGCGAGGGCTTTATTGCGCGCCTGGTACCCGCCCAGTGTGATACCAAGTTTCTTCTCCGACTTCGACGCTTTACTGGCTTCCTTCGCCATTTGCTCTCGGCATTCACCGAGAACAGCAGAGTACCCTGTTATTCGATCGTCGAGGGAAAGGTTTTCAGGGTCTACCCATGTGCGGGTGGTGCCGTTGAATGCAAGCCTTTGTCGAATGTCGGCCCATGAAACGGATTCGTCATTTCCTTCATTCTTGGAGAGTGTAATTAAGCCTTCCTTAAGCTGCGCTTCAGGAGCATTGGGGAAACCGATGGAAGTACCAAGCTCGAAGTGGATCAGGGATTTGGCTAATGCGAGGTCATCGTCAGGGGGCATCTCATACGTCGATACAGTTCGACCTGGAAGGTTGGTCCCAGGTAGCGGGTGAGCGATGGAGTCATGGAGCAGGAGACTTGCAAGCTCCCCGTTGATCAACTGCCGAGCGTCTGCGAGCTCCTCGTCTTCTTCCCCAATCTCGAGGTCTTGCAAGAGCTGTGCAATGTCCACACGTGCGGGTCGAGGAAGACCTAGTTGTACGGCTTCGTGACCGCCTTGCGAGGGCCCGACGCTCTTCCTCCTCCTGTATGCGCCTCAGCCTCGCATCCCGCTCTGCAGCATCCTCTTCAATCATTAGTCCTTGGTTCTCCCCTTCCTCCTCGTCCTCTGGAACGAGTAGTTCGAAGTTGTTCTCCGGTTTCGGGAGGCTCATGAACCCGGCTTTCAAAGCCCGTTTTGTTGAGTCTGAGCGAGATCGTTGTTCTCGCGGTGTCTCACCACCCATCACCATGCCCGTCACAGGGTTAATACTGAGATTGTCCCGCATGGGTGTACGCAGGGGCGTCGCGCCGAATCCATGGGGTGTAGCTGAGACGTCACCTCCCATACCGTTGTGCAAGGGCGTGGCAAGGGGATTGGGGGTGAAGGCGACTTGGTGGCGGGGTGTGGCGCCCTCGAAGCCGGTTCCGCCGGTTGGACCGACGTGAAGCGGGGTGTTTTCATCCCCAAGAAGAGGTGTTTGGGCGATAGTCATGTTACGTAGGTTCCGAGCCTCAGTCATGACATGGTCCTCTGTTGATAGCGTCAGACATGCCTCATCAATGGTGAACGAAGGTAGCTTACGTTGAGGTGCGGTGCGAGGTGTCCGGGCCATCCGTGCACTTTCCAGGCCTTCATACTCGCCGAGCAGCTTCGCGGTGGCTTCATTACCACCCGCAACCAGCGCCTTGGCGCTTTCCCCCGCCTGGCCAATCTTGACGATTTCCTCTAGCTCAGCCTCCCCAACCTGCGCATTAGGTAACACCAACTTTCTCCGACGACCAATGCTCTCAGCCTCTTTCAGCTTCTGAATTTGAGCATCACGGGCGGCGATGAATTTAGTTTGATGAGGTTCACCGCCTTTGCCTTCTGCATTGCGTCGTTGACGTTTTCTGCGCTCGGCTTCTTCGTCTTCGGGTTTGCGCTTATTTTCGAGGCGCCGAAGGGATTGGCCAACAGGGGCAGCGGTTATACGAGCTTGTTCTTCCGAGGTGTCATAAAAGCCTGGTGCAGGTTTCTTCTCGAAGGGGATATCAGTATTGTACTGTCAGAGAATGATGCATCAATATATGCTACTATGAAACCGAGGGTCCGCCACCTACATCCATGCCCTTCTGTTTTGTCTTATGTCGCACGCTGTGGAGCAATGTGAGTATATTTGTGTAACGCACAAAAAAGGAGCAAAAAGGGCGAAGACGAACATTATACCAGCCGCTTTCAGCTCACGCTTCTTCTGTAGGACTGCTAACCGTCGTGCCTCCTCCAGTTGACGTTCGCGGGCTTTCCGCTTGGCCTTCTTGCCTTGGGTGTTGGCTAAACGGGCACGAGCTTCCGACAACATTTCCTTCTCTGTGACAAATCATCAGACAAGGTGCCGAAACATAGATCATGCAATGGGTCGACATACCATCCTCGTCCATGTCAATAGGATCTGGCCGGGCAGGTTTCGTCTCCGGATCTGGGTCAATTTCACCAGGTCGTAGTCGTCGAACGTCGTCTGCACTTGGTTCAGTTTCAACTCCTGGCCCAGACAATCCAAGCTCTTCGGTTTCCTTCGCTTCAGCCTCATCCAATAGCTTTTGATATCGTTCTAGACATTGCGTAGCGGTTCGTCCGACTAGTGGTGCTATTGTCCGCCATTGTGTCGGCATCAGTTTTGCCAGGTGGAGGAGTTTTTCATCTTCAGTCTTCAGGGCCAAAGCTATCAGAAGTGGGGTAAGTAAGAAGAGTTCGGTTAGGAGCGTACCTTTGACCATTCTGTCTTCTTTATTGAAGGATCTAGCCATTCGTACCACCGGGCTTTACATTGTTTGGGTGTCTTTCGGACGAGCAAAGACGATATTCGGGCCCTGTGGGGAGATGTGAGATCCACACATTGGTTGTAGGTGTGAGAGGCACGTACCATTGATTCTTCCCGTACTTGGCTATAGCAGCCTTGAGGACCTCGTCCTCGGTGTTCTGTGTTGTTAACGTTAGTAAACCTCCATAACCAATCTAACAATACTCTACTGACCTTCCAAACACCTGTTTTAACGCGTTATAATGCAGCCTTTACTTACAGAAGCATTCGAGTACGCACCTCCTTTGATTATAATTCGAACCATGGTACTTGTACGACGAAGACGACACTGGCAAAACCGAACGAAGGGAGGTGGGAGACGGGGAAAGTATTTCTATTAGTCATCATATTCCTTATCGGTAAACTATTTCAAACTATTTCAAACTCAGTCGACATTCTTCCTTCACCACATCCATATCAATAATAAAATAAAATAACGCAATGTTTTGGAACTTTTCCGAGGTATGACACTGGCCAGCTCACGATATAGTTCTCGCTCCGGCTCAACATTCAATGGCCTTGTAGTCTAGAGGTACGATACTTGCTTTGGGTACTTCACAATTGCAAGTGGCCTGGGTTCGATTCCCAGCAAGGCCCCTTGTTTTTGTTCCATATTCCCAATCTTCCGTCCATTATTCTACTGTTGCAACCCTATTTCTCTGCGGAGAGTTTTGAGCGGATGAAATTATTATTTATGACCCTCATCCCGTGCGGAACTCTACGCTGAATCCGAATACTATTGTTTCGTCTGATTCCGTTGAGAACTGACCGAGTTACTGAACACCAAGGCCAGTGGACTCGATGTATGTAACTACAACAATGTGATGTACAGGATTCAAACCAGGACAGCGATAGAAATTACAAGGGTGGATATAAACGACACACGCAAAGCAATCAAACCCCATGACTCCTCAACGCCATCCATAATACCATGATCATGTATGCTGAGAGGACGAGCTCTCTGTATCCACCGAGGGATGGACCATATAGTATACACGAACGTTTTCTCCGTCTCGCGGTCCGGAAGAAGACTGCATGGTTCCGTTGCCTGCCGACTCTGGCAACGACTCCTGCACATCCCCCAAGATTTCCAACAGGTAGCCGTCCTGGGTGGAGACCATTGAGCTCCGTACAGCGAGTAAAACAATAGGCATACCTTCACCAATTTCCTCAAAAGCTTTGAAATGAGCTCCTTTTCGTACTCTAGCTCCTCGACCTCCTGTATCTCCGATTCCTTGAGCTCAAGGTACCAGTCGATGAGGTCGTCTCTGTCAATGCCTCGTCCAGTCTCTCGTTCCGTAGCAGAAAGGTGCAACACGACGAGACTCTGAAGAGTCATGTACTTGTCGTGCGTGATAACCATCCTTCGCTTCGGCAGCGGTGCAGGAGTGAGTGGCGCAGCTTGGAACACACTCCCCGCCCGCGACGTCGACGACGGTCCAACACCGCTGCTCGTCGCCATAGGGTTGAGTCCTAACGAACTCTCCTCCATCTGATCCATCGCCTCCATCTCCGCAGCTGACATCTCGACATCCTGACTCTCCTCAACCCCATCCGCAGTCTGTGCCGCGTTCCCCCTGACACCGCGCTCACCCTCGAGCTCTTCCTCGTCGAAATCGATGTCGTCCTGTTCGACATGGATGATGGACTGCCGTAGAAGGGTATATGCTTCGCGTACGAACGCGGGTGTGATTTCAGATGTGCAGTTTGCGCGGGCGATGGCTTCGCTGAGACGGATCATACTCTCGAGTTGTCGGACTGTAATACGGTAAGAGTTTCGTCCCGCGCCGGAGGCATCGTCTTGTCTCAGAATTCTGTACTTCTCGACCAGGACTTCCGCTGCTTCGGGGGTGAGCTGCGCGAACAGTTAGTAATCATTATGGGCGCAGCGAATGGTTACTTACTTTTGGATTGAATGTCCGTGCATACCGGATGTAGCGCTGCAATGCCTCTGTGCTGAACTCTGGATTGATGCTCTCATCCTGGAAACGATGGACATTGACAATATGCGTGGCAAGATTCAGGTCCGTCTTCTCGTCACACTCATCAAGGACAACGAAGAACAAATCGAATCGACTCATGATAGGCGCACTCATACCGACGTTTGCCCTGAGCGTTTTCTTCCGGTCATATCGCCCACCAATAGGATTGGCAGCGGCCAGAATAGACGTTCGGGCGTTGAGCGTGGCGTGGATGCCAGCTTTGGCGATGGATATTGTCTGCTTGTTCCATTGCTTCATGGATAGCGACTTGGTCGGAGATATCCATCTTGTCGAATTCATCGATGGCGCATATACCGTTGTCTGCTAGCATGAGTGCGCCAGCTTCGATAGTGAAGTCGCCAGTCTCTTCGTCTTTGACTACGGCTGCCGTGAGACCGGCAGCAGAGGAAGCCTTTCCGGACGTGTAGACTGCGCGAGGTAGGAAGGAACAGACGTACCTGCCGAAGAATTGGTCAGCTCTCTCGTGAGGCGCCTTATGCGAGGCGTGTTGACACGTACTTTAGGAACTGCGACTTCGATGTCGATGGGTCTCCAACAATACAAATATTGAGGTCTCCACGAAGGTGCATACCTTCCCCTGTCTGTTTGTGCACACCAGCCCATTAACTGCAGCAGGAGTCCCTTCTTCACGATTTCGTGGCCGTAGACTGTCGGCGCAATGCTCTCCACCAACCGGGAGTAGATGTGATCCGAATCGATCATGCTCTTGAGCTCATCGAATTCGGGCTCGGTCAGGGACCTGAGGAAGGCTTGTCCATCTTCCTCGCTGCCCTTCTTCTTCACCGCGGACATTCGTGCCTCCCTGTAGTCGGCATCGTTAGAGCGGTTGGTGACGCATATATGGACATATAGATGACTCACTCTACCATCAGCATCATGTACCATGCATGCCAAAAACGCCGTTTTGTACTGCAGATCTCGCACACCTAAACTCTTCAATCCCGTTACACCACTTCCGCCAACACCTCCTGTCGCAGCGTTTGCCCCGCTTCTGCTTGCCTCGCGCATGAGCTCCGCCTTGTTCCCTCCCGGCAGCCCAAGTTGGCTGACATCCGGGACGACGATGAATGTGCCCGTAAATACACATTTGTCTCCAGCCTTTGCTCGTTCGACCAGCTCCGAACGAAGAATGACGTCGAGCTGACCGAGGCATGGAACCAGTTGGAATCTCCGAAGGGTTCTCTTGGATACGAACCTTCTGCCAATCCGTGAATTTGGAGGTATCGATTTGTAGTTGCCATGCTATGCGATTACCGCAAGTGGGGTTTGGGCATAAAATGGGCTGCACATCCAGGTCAATGACAAGACAACAGCGATGAGTGACAGAATCGTACCTCGGTATACTTGAATTGCTGCTCGATCTCGTTGACGAGACCACCACAAACTTCACAGATGAAGCTGCCGTATAACAGCTCAGGTCTAACTTCACTTGTTCTAGTCACAGTACCGCTGATACTCATCAGGGTACCGATTTTATCTGTACGGAGATCCCGAATGCCAGAGACCAAAGGTAAGTGATAGAATGCAATGTTGAATTCGCGTGATTGAAGGTTTGCAGAGTCCGTAGTCGCAGCAGTTGGGTTTATCTTGAGATATTCAGGTTCGTACTCGGCGACGAGATTGTGAAGCGAGCGACGTAGATATGGGAGGAATCTGTAGTATTGCTTCTGGATTGCATCCGCGAGGACATCATCTTTTTGTAGCAGATGGCCATAGTCCACGTAGAGCGTTGTGATTTCGTATTCTCGCATGGTGTGGATTTGCTGGATATAGATCAACTCCCCGTCCACAACTTCAGGTAGACCTCCATCAGATGCAGGAGTAGATGCCAATGCGACTTCTTCAGTAAAACTAGATGATAGTTGAGAGTAAAAAACATGCTTGACACGATCGCCACTCACGTCTTTAGAAAGGTTTCGAAGCTCTCGCATACACTCTCACCCACCGCATCTCTGACCATTGGAACATCGGCATTTGGTTGGGTTCTTGGTCTCCGTCTACGCCTTGCGGCTGTTTCATCGTCCTCCTGACCTTCCTGAGCTTCGCTGTCACCAAATGCGAGCGCATCGGTAGCTGGCCGCCTCTGGGCTGATCTTGGTGTTCCGTTTGATGACGCTGTTGGATTTGGTGCACTGCTCGGTGGCAACGATGACCTCGGCGCTGCTGGCGATGAAAGAGTGTCTATGTCCATCTATGGCGGTAAACCCAAGATATCAGGCGACGCGACGCATAATATGGCGCGAGACTGCCAGCCCTAAATATTAAAATTACATAATATCTAGGGCTAGCTTGAGGGTTATCAGAGTTTGTAAACACAAGACAACAGATCATGTGCACCATCTTTTTCTTCACCATTTCGAAAGGTTTTGATACACTCGCTTCGGCCTTCAATGAGCCAGGCATCCATGTGGGTAATTTCAGGACTTGCAGACAACCTCAGATGAGGATAAAGTGACTTGGTTCTGCAAGGTGACTTACGGAATGGAAAGATATTGAGAAGGGCGGCCGTCTCTGGCCTCGCGGCCTTTACTATGGCCTCTATACCTTTCTCAGCAAACTCGACGAATGGATCATTTGTTGGCGCTGGGTCATGTCCATACATAATCAACATAATAACCGACGTGGAAAAGCTAAACGGTGGTGTCAATGAGTTACAGGAGAATTTATACATCGCTTGACAGACGTCCTGCCACACGGTCCATATAAAGGATGTGAGTATGAACGAGATCGCCTGCGATAGTTTCCGTCAGATTGGTTAAGAGGATGGTCAGGATCAACATTCGCACCGAATGATGCACCCCATTCGCGGTAAGTGACCAGGGTTTAGTGGCATCGATGCTAGTGCAGTTCCTAGGAAAGGAAGTCCCTTTGGCCCTGGAGGCAAGGGAAACGTGCTTGCACCACTGCTTCGCTTAGCGACATACCAGGCAGCAATGAGTAGCAGGAGCAGCGGAAAGAGGGAGTCACGCAGCGATATCGACATTGCATGGGAGGTAAGATGGCGGAAACTCGAGAATAGTGCGTAGTACGAAGGGCGTTTATTGCGCGGCTAGGTTTTGTTGCTGGATTGCAAGTAGCTGCAACAGACACGAGAAATGGAGAGCAATTTGTCGTCGGTGTGGTAGACCCTGATCGACTACAGGAAGTGGTATGCAGTGGCAGGCCCTTCCCTACACCTGCAATATTGATACCTCTCACTTGCCCCCACCAGTCAAGTTGGCATTGTACACGCGGGTAGCTTTCGGATTCTCAGCATCCCGTAGTCTCTACGTTACTCGATTTATGAGCACTACTAGTAGTTCAGCCGGACCGCCTGTTGGCAGCCCCAGCCCATGATGTGCGTGACGGATATTGATGCTGTCGCGCGAGAAACGGTCCAGTGCGGTCACCTTCGCTGTGCAGGAAAGACGCATGCTCCGCCCGAAGAAGGGTAAAGATCTCCTTATGCGGGAAGCAGTTCAGGGGGCGGAGAAAAAATCTGACCTTACACTGCTCGAGACGACGTTGAGGCTCATAAGGAACGAGCCTCTCGAAGGAAGAAGACTACGAGTCAGAAGGTCACACCGAAGACTGACAGGGGTGCCGGACGAAACG